TGCTGAACCAAGCAGCTATTTTTCTCTCTCCCTTCTTATCCCTACATACTTGTAAAGTCCCTATCACGGTTTCACATGCTCACTGGCTTTATTTCCTCCTCGACATTACCTCTTTGACAGCTCCCCCCACCTTTTTCTTTCTTTCCTCAAGATACTATGTAGAAAGGGGGGGAAAAAGCTATTTAGTAGTAATAAATAAATAAACAAACAAATAATTACAAGCAAATTAGCAAAAAAAAAAAGGGGGGGGCAAAAATGCTGCAAAAATATTTACCTTTCAGAAACAGATGAAATATCAGAGATCCCTAGAGATAACTCATGCTTATCTGGAACAACTTTCTTACTTTTCACCTTGAAGTAAAACATGAAAAGTATGGATCACGTGTTAGCATAATCATTTGCTCTTCACTCTGATATGAATCGCAAGTGTCACAGCATCCTTCAGCTAATCCTTCTCTCAAAACATTCACAAAATGACAAAAGCTCTTTTATGCTGTTTGACTGAAACACCTTTAGTTCAAGTTAACTTAGCACAATTCAGTGTAGCATTCCCTGCTCTTACTTCTTTGTGAGAAAGGGAAGTATGTCCTAAGAGTATTTTCTGTTTTAATTGTGTGCAATTCAGATTACATGCAATTGTGTTTAAACTTGTTACAGAGCTATTTTAGCTCTTAAAAAATCAACTTATTCACTAATATTTTCAACAAACATATCAAAAGCTAACGTGCCAGAAGTTTTATTATGTTTTTAAAGAGTTATTAACTTTGACTACCACCTTGTGGTTTACATTAGTATTACATAGGTTTAAGGCAATGCTAGGTATTAAAAATACAATTTTTTTTACTATAAGCAATAACTTGCAACTCATTAGATTTACACTAGCAGATAACTTGGTAGATCACACATATTCCAAACCAGATGCAGAAGCTGACCATATTTCTGTCAAAATAGCTGATTTCAATGAAACAGTGTTTGTAGTCACAGTCCTATAGCCTACAGTTTGCCTGCCTTGCAGTGAAGTGGGATTGCAGCTCTTGCAGGCAAACATTTGAGCACCTTTACAATTTCTACTGCTGCTGCTGAAAGTAAACCACCAATATGGGTTTTAAATGCCTGCTACAAGAAGGTAAAGAAAATGTTTGAGAAGTCTGATAACTACAAGTTAGGTGTTGCTAGGCTCATACTCTTAGCTAAGTTCAAGTTAGGCAACTGGAGTTTATTTACATGATCACATTTGACATATGAGGCTATAGCTACCCCACAAGT